TGAACTTCTTCCACTGGTTAAATGCTCCAAGAATCTCTTTCACACAAAATCGTAATCATATTTAATTTTTTTATTTGAAATCAAACCAATCAACTCCCCTCAGGTTGTGTAGCCAATCAAACTAGACCGCTGACGTGTGGCTGTGGTGATGCAATGGCTAAAAAACTATGAATGTTACAAACTTCCTCTAGCTTTGAAGCGAGTTTATGTCTATTTGGTGCACAAGTATTTGAAATTGTCGTATATATTTCTTGCCTCCTCCCTGCTCTCGCCAAAAAAACAGAGAAATCAGAGCTGGTGGTGAACTTTGAAATTTCTTATGGTGACACCTTTCCGTGGAGTTTGGAGCACGATTGCTTCAGACCAACACGTCAAGCAGTGCTGGGTTTTATGGCCTCTGCTGCGGTCGGTGGACTAGCAGCGTTTTCCTGACAGAGCTTTCTATCAGTTACCAAGGTTCAGTCAGCCTAACCAGCAGAGGGCAGCAGATTCACATCTTTATGGGCACATTTATGAAGGAAACACATCTAATACCAGAGATCCGGTCCGATCCTTTGACAAAAGAATGACTGGTCAGACGTTGGACCGTTTGATTGGCTAAAGGTGTCTCGGTCTAGCCTCGTGAGACCATCCTGATCTCGCGAGCTTTCAAGATTTCACTCGCTAATCAGTCTGGAGACTCTCCGTTGAAGAACATTTGGAGCCGTTCACCAAACGAACGTCCAATCAGCGTTGACTTTGAGGCGGGTTGAGGTGTGACGCAACGAGAAGCGCGACAGTTCAGTCTAAAGAACATGGCGGCTTCAGCCGGTGAAACTAGCGTTAGCGTGGCTATCGAGCAAGTTTTATCGGAATTACAGAGTATTTCTTCACTGAAAGAAGAGCAAAACACTGCTCTGGAGGCTTTTCTCAGAGGAAAAGATGTTTTTGCTCGTCTCCCGACTGGTTTCGGCAAGAGTTTGATCTATCAATTGGCTCCTCTTCGTCGTCGCTCTGTTAGTACGTCATATGCTTCGTTGATCTGATTGGTTTATTTGGCTCGTCTATCACCAACATAAGCCAATCAGCTAACCAGTATTTTCGCCCCTTCCCAAAATTACTTCAACGGAAGGTTTCCAGATGGATATGCGGAGCAAATCCATCTGGCGGAGTCAGGTTAGCTGTAGTGCTGGTGGCGGGAGAGGTCATAGGTCAGCACATTTGCAGGCAACTTTTATTCCAGTGAGAATTTTGTAGTTAAATTTAAAGTAAAAAAAAAATAAAAATAATAATAATGTATGGGAGAGGATAAAAACTCAGTGTCTTTAGCTTCATGTACCACCAGCTCTGTGTCTCTGCTTTCTGGTGAAGGCGGTTTTCTCTGTTCCCCCCCTGAGCTTCTGTGCGTCTCTGCTTTTCTTCGGCATGTTCGACTAAGTTTAAAGCTTTAGCTGTTTTTGATATCCCCGATACTGTCCAGCATGCTGCTAGAAAATGTAAAAGTGATCAGAGTGAGCATAAAAAAAACGAAAAAACAGCTCATCCCTCATCAGCATTTTTTTTAATACATTTCCAAAAGATAGTTTTTAATCTAAAAAAGATGGTTCCAGTAAACATTGTATAGATGACAGTGCTTATGATGTTTAATAGAATATATAAATATATCTATAAAATATATATTATGTGTGATTGCTAAATGGACTGAAAGATCAGCTCGGCCTGGTGCCAACACATCCTTCATGGACCAACTGCAGAACTCCACTGGCTTGGAACTTTCTGATTGGGCATATCACACGTCAGTCAAGCCCTGGCCACGCCCACATGTTCACATGGTGCTATTTCACAGACTCCTGGTGTATCTGAAACCCATCAGATCCCCCACATGAGAAGAATAAAGTCCTGCAGAGGTTCTGTTCAAACAGAAGTGGGTCTGCAGGTTCCTTCCTGAATGTTTCCTTCAATGTTTTCAGCAAATGGTTACATGGTGGATGTTTATACACGACTGGGCTGCTGATCCAGGCCTGCAGCTGGTATCAGTCAAGCTGCTGTTACACTAACGGCACATCTACAGAAAATACAAAAAAAAAAAAAAAACGCTTTGGGCTTTTTTTCTACTTTTAGAAGAGGAAAAAATACCTCCTTTTTGGTCAAATTTACTCAACATTTTAGTGCAGCTGTTCTACAAAAAAAGCTATTCTGTTATGGAGTGATTTTTGTTCCATTATTTCTAGATAATAGAAAAAAAAAAAAAATGCAATCCAGAAATGTAACATTAAAAAAAAAAAAACATTAAAAAAAAACATAAAAAAAACAGGTTTTGAGAGAAACTTTGTAGATTTTTCCAGATTTAATAAACATTTTATTTTTAAAGTTTTTCATATTTTATTCTTTAAAATATTTTATATAATTTTTTTTTAGATTTATGTTTTAAAGATTGATTTTTACAAATTGCTTTATTTTTACGTTTAATTTCACACGCTCCTCAGTTTTGGGGACCTCTGGAGTGAAGAGTCAAAACGCATTTCTATTGGTCTGCATCGTAGTTAGCAACATTTTTATTGGTCAATGAGCGTTTGGATTGGGCTTGACCTGACGAGAATGTGGGAAGTAAAATAAAATTTGAAAAGAATGTAATCAGAAAATTCAATCAAAAAATAAATATATCGGCAAAAATATGATATAAATTGAAAATATAAAATCTGCACACAACATTTCATTTTTTTTTTAGTTTATTTAAACTAAACTACTTGTTTGGCACAAAAAAATGTTATATGAAGAGTATGGCTGAAAAAATGAAAAAAAAAAAATCTGAGAAAACTGAAAAATGTATCTATAAAATTCTTTTTTATTTAAATGTTTTTCAAAATTTTAACTTCTGGATATTTTTTTATTTCCATTTACAAATATGTTATTTGTCACAATAATGGAACAAATTTCACTCCATAGCCTTTAAAGCAACAGTGTTTCTGTTTTCATTATCTCTGCCAAATGGACCATGACTTGGTTCTAACAGAACCTTTTAATCCATGTTTGTGAAGCGGGCCGTGAAGGGAACTCCTGTTCTGGTTCCGGCAGGCCCAATAACATTTGGTCTTTTTCGTCGTGAATGAACATCTTCCCAACCGTTGCTTCGATTTCAACCACATTCCCGTTTGTCCTTCAGACCCTGACATCCTGCCCTGACCAGGTGTGTCCAGCCTGGACTCCAGTAACTTTCAGGAAACTGATTAAGTTTCTAGTTAAAGAAACGAACTGGGAACCCACCTGTTCAGGCGCAGGTAGGGTCACCTGACGAGCCTTGCCTCCCAGATGCTCCGTGAGCTTTGTAATCTGGTTGTTTCAAGTCCGACTGATTGTGTTAACAGACATTAAAGAAATGTTCTGAGTCGAAGCGACTGCTGTCATCATTTCTGAACAGATTTCAGTTTCAATCATGCCACAAAACTGTATTTAGATTATTTTCTGTTGGAGCCTATAGTTCAAAGATAATTCAAGAATAGAAAAACGCTTTAGAACATGTTTAAAGGGGAAAATGAACAGTAGGGCTAAAAATCAACCAATTTAAATCAATGTACAGAATTAGTTAAAGCAGGGATCTTCAATGTTTTCCAGACCAAGGACCCCCAAACTGATGGCAAGATGGAGCAGGGACCCCCTAATTAAATATATTGTATGAAATAGTGTTCTATCAAACTGGTCCTATTGTCACTCTATTACAGATGCAGTAATGTAACTAAAGTAATTTCTCCCTGGGATTATTAAAGTATTTCTGATTCCTGGTTGATGGGACAGGTGTTCTGAATGAAACGGTGCCCAGGTTGAAAGAGCTCCTGTGTGTCGCTGAATGTGTGCATTGATGACTGAAAGACATCTTCTGCCTCCATTTATCTGTTTACTACAGTGTGTTGAATTCATGTTAATGTGGATTTAAAGACATTTCAATTAGTGGAAAAAATTGCAGGGCAGAATATAAAAAAAATCTAATTAACAAAATGTTTCACGACCCCCATGCAGTACCCCCGTGGACCCCCTGTTGAAGACCTCCGAGGTAGAGGATAAAATTCTCAGGCTCAACATCTTTATTTTGTCAATAGTTATGATTTATGACATGGTAAACCATTATTCTGACAAGAGAAAGTATAACATAATTAAATCCACTTCCTGGAAGTTGGAAAACAAGTTCAGACCTTCACAGTAATCAGTAATGTCCAAATAGCTCACATCTGGAAAGATATAAAAAAGTTTGTTTTGGTTATTTTTTCAGTAAATGTGATTGTTTTCTTTTATTCAAATTAGTCCAGATTTAAAGCAGAAACCTGGTTGATCTAAAGTTGTAGGAATGCGGCTGTTCCAACCTCTGAATGTCTGAATTCTCCCCATTGGTGCATGACTGCACACGAGTCAATAGAAAGAATGTGATTGGTCATTAATCAAAGGGGCGGGATTGTTGTGGCGGAAGGTTCGCAAGCATTTTGGTTGTGGCCGGTTTGTCGGAAGCATCATGCTAACCAGTTAGCAACTTAGTGCTAGTAGGTTCCCAATGGGACGGAACTCAATGGTAAAGTATATTATTCTTATTTCAACCGTTGTGTATATTAGCTGCGACATATGAATGAAGATGCTATGACCGAAAAAATGTGATTGAAAGATGACCGCTGATATATGATTGGCCGAATTTAGGTGTTCGGGCTGACGTATAACTAACTGGCCTGCAGAAGATGGAGGGGAAAAAATTATAATTTTTATAACTTTCAGGACAATGTGGTCTGATAAAGAGTATATATACATGTTTAAGCCAGAACGATTTGACATTTAAATATGATTTCACTGCGACTTTAATTCAGTTTTTTTTTTCGTTGTCATGGGAACCAGATGCAGGCTGGGTTTACAGGATTAACTCTGGGCGGGTTGGGCTTCTTTTCTTTCCCAACCTGTTTACTGGGTGTTCCGGTTCTATTTGCGTTACTGATCCCCCCCCCCCCTGCAGGCTTTGGGCGGAACCCGGGCTCCTCCCAGCCGAAAGCGCAGCTCTCTGCAGCCGCAGGCTCTACCGATACTTCCTGATGCACCTGAGCAGGTGAGAGGAGGAGCAGCAGAGCGTCTCTACTGTCTGACTGCGGCGGCCTGTGGCATGAAAACACAGCGAATGATCAGGGTTAAGGTCCAGCATCAGGGTGAGTCACTTCTTCCTTTTAAATCACTCCTGGTTTGTTTTTTAAAGCGATTCAAGAGGTGGCGGAGATAGTTCATCGGAAAGCTCTTCCACTGACGTCATCACGTTAAAACCAGAATAGAGACGGAACACCTGAGGCTGCAGGCTAACTTTGGTCTCAACTCAACAGTAGGCCTAAACACCTGCTTAATGTTAATTAATATTCGTTTAAGTAACGAGATTTGATTTCTGGTGCTTTTAGAGTTTAAATATGAAGAAAAAATAAACGTGTTTGTAAAATTGCTGAAATTTAAGATCAGTTTTTGTTGTTAAAATCATCCTATCTGAGCTGCAAGGCGAGGCTTTGTAAAGTTAAATCATTTTTGTGCTGAAACGTTAAAAATCAAAGACCACTTTTCAAAATATTACATGAAAAATGAAATCCAATATTCATTCAAACGAACTGTGATATATGAATATAAAAAATGTTCCATACAAGAAAGCCATTATTTTATGGAGTGATTTTTGTTCCATTATTTCTTTAAATAGAAATAAGAAAAAAAAATAAATAAAAAAAATGCAATCCAGAAACTTAACTTGGAAAAACATTTTAATAAAAAAAAAAAGTTTTGAGAGAAATTTTAATTTCAAGTTTCTTTTTTATTTATTTTTTTTATATTTTATTTTTTCGACATATTTATATTTTATTCTTTAACATAATTTATATTTGCATTTTTTTTATTTATGTTTTAAAGTTTGGGTTTTACAAATTGCTTTATTTTTAAATGTAATTTCACATCCTATTGGTCTGCATTAGCAACATTTTTATTGGTCAGCGTTTGGATTGGGCTTTACCTGATGAGAATGTGGGAATGTAAAATACAATTTGAAAATATCGTAATCAGAAAATCCAATCAGAAAAATAAATATATCGGCAAAAATATTATATAAATTGAAAATATAAAATCTGTACACAACATTTCATTTTATTTTATTTAAACTAAACTACTTTTTTGGCACAAAAAAAAATGTTATATGAAGAGAAAGGTGCAAGCTCCAGCTAAAATAAGTAAATCATTTGTGCCACTTAAACAAATGTAGCAGTTAACTTTGGCCAAAAAAAAAAACCATATATATATATATATATATCAGTGGCGGCTGGTGAAAATATTTTTGGTGGGGCTGATATAGCCTAGTGTATGTCTCCAACTAATCCGGAATAAGAATTCAAATAAACAATTGGACAATACATACAATTTAACAGTAATGATTTAATTTACTATATAATAACTAACAGTGATGATTTGGGTCACTGTGACGGGGTTCTTTGGCCTCCAAGAATCCAGGCTCAGTCAGGTTACCGGTGTTGGTGATTTATTGAGCTCAAAAACTCAAAACAGGGTGCAAAAGGAACTAAACATGTACAAGATACTCTGGGCCTCAGCCTCCCTCCAGTTACAAGCAATGTAACAAAGAAACAGAAAACAAAAATGGCCGCTCTTCTTCCCACAGCCCTCATAAATAGTTTAAGCCCCTACCCTCAGGCTCTCTTATTTCTGATTTCTTCTAATTAATCAGTTTTGTCCATATATTACCTCCACAAACAATTGATGTACAAAAACAAATAATTTTTACAACTTAATTCTTTTACACAGATTCATTGACTTATTCAATTACACCAAACTGGGTTTGAACCCAGCAAAGACGCAGCCAGACTGAAGATGACAAGTCCCCGTAGCATAAACACGTACACCCCCCCCCCCCCCACACACACACACACACACACACACACGGCTAACCCCACTGAAATATTAAGTGTGCACCCTCAATACGCCAGCAGGTAACCAGGAACAGCTTGTGTGTTTTAAGTTCATGGAGCTACTGGTCTCAGCGCGAGTGTATTGGTCCTCACAAACACAGTATAACAGGAATGTGTGTGTGGCGCGCAAAGTTAGAGAGGTTGTTTTAAGCGACGAGGTGGATTCGTCACAGTCACAATAACCATGACATGAAATGTTCATATCCTACAACAGGGATGTTCTTCTGGCAAACGGGTAGATAAATAAGGATCTCACCAAATTTGGTGGAAGCTGCATCTCGTTCGTTACATTCGCCATCTTCCCTCTAACTGTCTGCACCTGCGCTTGGGTTCAGAAGCCTGTTAAAGCGCAGTATTTTCGGCGCCCCAAGACCATAAAGTTCCGAGACGCTGATTGGCCATTAAATTCACCTAGCAATAGTACATCATTGACAGATTCTTTGCAAATGTGGGTCAGTCTGATCACAGCCCCCAGAACAGAGACGGTAGGAGTCTGTCTGTGGAAATCCACAAATTAATGACAGTAGATAGGGAAATGTAGTTTATATAATTTGTTTTGCTTATATGTACACAGTCTAGAGAGTAAAACTGACATTTATGAGTTAATTTCTAAAAATATATTTTACGTTTCTCTCTTCTTATCAGGGAGGGCGGTGCCCCAGCGCCCCCTATGGGCCGGCCGCCACTGAGATATATATATATATATATATATATATATATATATATATATATATATATATATATATATATATATATATATATATATATATTTCTAAAAACTTGGTTAGAAAACAAGATGGCGGAGACAGATTATCCTGCTGGATTATGGGAAATAAATCAGGTCCTTTTTAAATGAAACCCCTGAAGCTACAAATTAGCATGGATCAGTGCATCCAGTGTGGACAATGTTAACTTCTTATTTTAAAGGTTTTTTTTTTCAACAAATATGAGTTCAAATTTTATTAACACCCTTTGATGGATTTTTTAATGTGTTCTTACATTTTATGTGATCTGAAATTATATAAAACATTTTGACATAACATTGGGCTGACAGTCTCCAGTGGATGCGACAACCAGATTATCGATTGTTGCATCCCTTGAACGCTTTAGATTTTTTTATTATACATAAATTGTTTTATTAATAAGACTTTAAGCTTCGCATTGATATAAAAAAAATAAAAAAATGTTTAAATGTGACACCCATCAAAAAGACATTTTTATTTTAGGTTTTTGAATTTAAATAGAAAAAGATAAATGGAGGTAAATCATTCTAAAAAAAACACAAAAAAGAATACAGTTGGAGGTCATTGTAAATCATGACAAATTAACTCAAATTGAGTGGAGACTTAATCTTATAATGGATGATACTTGTTTGATGTCAGTTTTAGGATTTCACCCTTAGAGCATAAAATATAAAACATTTTTCCTTTTCTCTGGTTGCTTGGTGCTGGGGGTCACGGCCAATTTAACAACTGGATAAAAACCCCATAAAAAAAAAAAATTGAAGAAAACGTAAAGTTGGCATAATTAAAAATTTTAAGGTAAAAAATTCTGTAAAATGTTGAGTTTGCATTAAAATTCTGAGAAGATCCTTTCAATCTCTATGGCAATATTTGTGACACAGGTTTTCACAGGCTGGACTGGCATATGACCCAGACCTCTGACCCAGATTATATTAGTTGTGGATTGGTTCAACTGGAAGTAATCTATGGTACGGTCCTCGGGGTTTTTTTTTCTCTTCAGTCAAGGAATGGAAGTTTTGTTGTTGTTTTTGCTTGTTTTGTTTTGTTTTCTACAATGTTGGGGAACACCCAATCGTTTACCGAGAGAAATCCTTCTGATTTTAGGATGACGGACTGTTCAAGAACTCAGCTGGTGAGCGCCATCCATTTACAGGAGGTGGAACTGCAGGTAAAAGCTGCAGACAACCAGCAGGGAAACGGTAGCAGTAACAACAATGGTGAGTTAGAGGAACATGGGTCTGGCTCATCTTTAAAAGGTCTCACTTTTCTTTCATAGTCAGATTTTTTTCTTTAAAAATGAAAATAAATAATTGATAAAAAAATAGCAAGATATATGAAGAAAATATTTTGGATGAAATATAATTATTAATGTTAATAGAGAGGAGGAGACTGAAGAGGTAGAACGCAGCATCTAAGAGTAGATAAGAAGTTCCTAGAGATTCCCATGAAGGTCACATCCTGAATGAGTGAAAAAACAAGAAGGAAACATAAAAAGCTGCAAGTTCATTTTATTTTCTTTTTCATTGTGGTGAGCCATCCTTCTACACAAATGTTTGTTTTTTTCGCACCCACAAGTTTCCATCAACTAGATTAACTGACCACTTAAACAGCTCACCAGGTTAATTACAGTCTTTAGAAATACTTTCATTCTTTGTGATATAGACATGTGGACAAAGCTGTTGGTTCCTTCTTTTAAAGGAAAAACGCAAAAATAAATAATAAATCTATGAAAATAAAAAAATGAAAGTCAGATATTTACAGTATTTAAAAAAAAAAAATTTTTATGAATGAAACCGGTGTGGATTAAAATTATGTTTTTTCCATATAAAAATGTCTCCATAGGGACATGTTGAATCAAGGTGTGTCCACTAATTAGCATCACACGCCTCTACAATCTGTAATTAGTCATTGGGTCGACATAAAGGGCTGCAGGTAGGCACCCTGCTGTTTGGTGACATGGTGTATACCGCACTCAACATGGACCAGAGGAAGCAAAGGAAAGTCGTCTCAGGAGATTAGAAAGGAAATTATAGAGCAGCTTGTTAAGGTTTAAGCCTATCAGACCATCTCCAAGCAGCTGGTGTTTCTGTGACTAAAACTATTCAGAAAACTAAGATCCATGGACTGCAGCCAACCTCCCTGCAGCTACAGGAGGAAAACTGATGACCGTAAAACTTCTATAGAGACTAAAGATTAACTTGAAGCTCAACATCAGTGTCAGATCACAGCATTTATCGCTGTTTACGCCGAAGTGGACTTAATGGGAGGCGAGGAACCATTGATGGAAGCATATCCTGAAAAGGCCAGACTTGAATTTAGCAAACTACATGTTGACAAGAAACTAACCTCCTGGGAGAACGTCCTCTGGACAGAGGAGACAAACTGAGATTTTAGCTAAGAAACATCTGCTCTATGTTCGCAGACAGAGAGAGGAAAGAAAACTGTCTCTACTGTGAAACATGGAGGAGGCTCTGTTATGCTCTGGGCTGCTGAGTGTCTGGATCTCTGCAGGGTATCAGGGATTGTAGAGAGAAATGTGCTGCAGTGTCAGAAAGCTTGGTCTCAGTCGCAGGTCGTGGGTCTTCAACAGGATAATGAGCCAAAACACACAGATAGAAACAGCCAAGAACGGCTGAGAGAAAAACATTGGACTGTTCTGAATTCAATTCAATTCAGTTTATTTCTATTGCGCCAAATTCACAACACATGTCATCTCAAGGCACTTTACAGTTCACCAGATCATACAGTCAAATTGATACAAATTTTCTATCTAAGGAAAACCAGTTGATTGCATCGACTCATTGACTCAAATGCAATCCCTCACACTAAGCATGCTTGTAGCGACAGTGGAGAGGAAAAACTCCATTTTAACAGGAAGAAACCTCCAGCAGAACCAGGCTCAGTGTGAGCGGCCATCTGCTGAGGCCGACTGGGGTTCAAGGAGACAGAAGCAGAGAGAAAAAAGCAGCTGTAAAGCGTCCAGGAAGCCAGCTCCCATGTCAGAGGATGAAGAGAGCACATCCACCCAGTCACGGTCAGAGAAACAGGACCACACTGGTAAACAGGCCGATCTCCAACATCTATAAACAAGGGTGTCGATGGCAGCAGCACAGCTGCTGTTTCTCTCCAGGATGGAGTCACAGCCAAACAGGAACAGACGAGGCAAAGCTACTCTGAGGAAAAGTACAGAGAGCAGAACGTTAGAGATTGGAATAACAGATTCTACAGAGTGGGAAAATAGAGATAGAATGAAACAGAATGATGAAATGGGGGTCCCTATGTCCTCCAGAAGTCTAAGCCTATAGCAGCATAACTATAGAGATAGCTCAGGATAACCTGAGCCACTCTAACTATAAGCTTTATCTAAAAGGAAAGTTTTAAGCCTAGCCTTAAAAGTAGACAGGGTGTCTGCCTCACGGACTAAAACTGGTAAATGGTTCCACAGGAGAGGAGCCTGATAACTAAAAGATCTGCCTCCCATTCTACTTTTAGAAATTCTAGGAACCACTAGTAAACCTGCAGATTGAGAGCGAAGTGCTCTGTTAGGAACATAAGGAACAATCAGATCTCTGATATCAGATGGAGCTTGGCCATTTAAGGCTTTATATGTGAGATTGAGGATTTTAAATTCTATTCTGGATTTAACAGGAAGCCAATGAAGAGAAGCCAGGAGAGGAGAGATGTGATCTCTCTTTTTCATTTTCATCAGAACTCTGGCTGCAGCATTTTGGATCAGCTGAAGGCTTTTAACTACAGTTTGTGGACTTCCTGATAGTAAAGAATTACAATAGTCCCGCCTTGAAGTAACAAATGCATGGACTAGTTTCTCAGCATCACCCTGGACAGGATATTTCTAATTTTTGCAATATTCCTCAGATGAAAGAAGGAAATTCTAGAAACTGCTTTGATATGGGATTTAAATGACAGGTCCTGATAAAAAATAAAACTGAAATCAGTTTAATCCCATCCAAATGAAGTGACTGACCAATCAGCTTCTTTTTCAGAGACTCTGGTCCAAAGACTAAAACTTCTGTTTTGTCTGCATTCAGAAGGAGAAAGTTAAGAGTCATCCAGGTTTTTATGTCTTCAGACATGCCTGTAATCTATGTAATGGGTTAGCTTCATCTGGATTTATAGACAGATATAGCTGGGTATAATCAGCATAACAGTGGAAATTAATCCCATGCTGTCTAATAATTACACACATACACCATTTAGAACATTGTCATCACAAGCTTTAAAGGTGCATTTCATAAAAATCCTCCTGAAGTTTGATCTGACTCTCAGAATGTTGACTGTTCTGCTCCAGCAGATGAGAAGTTCACCGTGGAGCAGGCTGTGGAGACCATCGGCTTCGGACGCTTTCACGTCCTGCTGTTTGTCATCATGGGCAGTGCCAATGTGAGTCCAGATCTGCGTCACAGCAGCTGCTCTGCGGTGACGGTGTGACATCACTGACACTGTTTGTGTGCAGATCGTGGAGGCGATGGAGATCATGCTGTTAGCTGTGGTTTCTCCAGAGATTCGGTGCGAATGGCGTCTGGAGGACTGGCAGGTTGCTCTCGTCTCCACCGTGAGTTTCTGTCACACAAGCTGAACCAATGTGCAAAAAAAGGCACAATTCTTCACATCTCATATTTCTTTCTTTTTCTTAAGCAGGGCAACTTTATTTATATTCAAGTTTCAGTTACAAGTCAGTTAGAGTGAATTTTTTAAAGAAAAAACTAAACGGGAAACGCATCGAGAAAAGTACAATGCATTAGGATAATCTAAAACTCAATGAACATGAGCGAATAAAATAGAAATTAATAATCAAAATTAGGAAAATTATAACAAAATGAAAGGAAGTTAGACTATAAACCAATAATTATGGCTGCAACTAATGATTACTTTCCAAATCGATCAATATATTGATTATTTTTTGATAATTTGATTAATAATCTGCTGGAATATAAACAATTTCTTCCCTTGTTCAATAATTTTATATGTGTACGGACCATTTGTTTATGGGGGGTAAACTTTTCCAAATAATTACCTTTTAGCTCATATTGTTGCACATTTTACTGTTCGTTTCATTTTACTGTTTATTTAATGTTTGATCAATTCTGAGCCTCTTTTAAGTCAGGATAGAGTATTTTACCAGACCACAGCCACGTTTGTCCGTAGGTTCTTAGTCCCAGTTACCCGTATTTTCACGACCATAAGGCGCACCGTACTAAAAGGCGCAGTCTCAGTTATGTGTCCCATTTCTGTATTTAACACACACATAAGGCGCACCGGACTATAGGGCGCGTTTTTTATATACAGGTACATGTCCTCTACTACCTTTAAATACCTCTACTGCGTATTTAAAAATACAGCGGGGGCAAAACTGAGTATGACTGTGCTTTATTCATGTATTTATTACAAAGTATTAATCAAACCTGGGAGCTGACCGTGAGACAGACACATTGCAGATGACAGAGCGCTGTGATTACTCCTAAATTAACTTAAAATCCTGAAACCTGCCGACGGAATATGTTCGCTTTTATTACCGGTATCCTGGTGCCTGCAGTTTAAATTATTTAGATGAAAAACACCTGCCAGCCGCCGTGGTGAACCTGGAGGAGACCCGGCCCAGAGGCTGCTGTTGAATTAAGTTTTCAGGTAGAAAAATAGAGCGGGAGCAAAACTGAGTATGATTGTGCTTTATTCATGTATTTATTACAAAGTATTAATCAAACCCATCAAAGTCATCATCCTCTGTTTCTGAATTAAACAGCTGCGCTAAATCAGACATGCCAATTTCCCCTTCTTCGCTGTCAGTCACTTTCCCTGCAGCGCGGCTCCTCAGAAATAATGCTGGCTTTTGCGAAAGCTTGAACAACAGAGCCAGCAGACACATTAGTCCAAGCATCTACAATCCATCCTCAAACGGTGGCGTAACTTGCCCGGCGCTGCCTTCCACTTATCCTGAAACTGTGGTCTCCGTCGGTCATCCATCGCTCCCACGCCGCTCGCAGCCTTACTTTGAACGGCCGGTTCACACCGATGTCGCGCGGTGGAAGTTCCTTTGTCAGACCCCCGAGATAACGGCGAGCACAGCGGTTTTTTTTTTCACCATGTTTTTCACATCAGCTGTGAGATGGGCACGCATGGAGTCACATATTAAAAGCGATGGTGATGCGTGGAAAAAACCACCTGGTCTCCTCACATACACCTGCCTCAGCCACGCTTTCATCATCTCCTCATCCATCCAGCCTTTTTCATTTGCCTTAATATCATATGTCATCAGAGCGCTGTGTCTGTCTCGCTGTCAGCTCCCAGATCAGCTTCTCTGATTCGTTGATGCGGCGCTTCCAGCAGCAAAACTTCAAATTTTCCATCTCGAGCAGCAGCAGCGCGCCAGATGCTTAAACGCTCCCGACGTGCTGCGCCTGCTGCTCAAAACGCGCTGCGGGACCTTTTGCTGCACCTATACGCTCGTCAACCGTTGACTTTGCATGTAAACTCGCTGCTTCTGCTGCACCTGCTGCGTCCGGTTCACACTGATGTCGAGCGGTTGAATAACAGCGAGCACAGCCTTAATTTGTTTCCCCATGTTTTTCACATCAGCTGTGAGATGGGCACGCATGGAGTCAGATTAACAGCGATGGTGATGAGTGGAAAAAAACCCACCTGGTCTCCTTACATTCAGCCACTCTTTCATCATCTCCTCAATGAGGTGGTCTCAAAAGTCGCAGTTGCAACACACATAGGGCGCACCGCACCAAAGGGCGCACCGCACATTTTGAGGGAAAAAAAAGACGTTTATGTGCGCCTTATAGTCGTGAAAATACGGTACTAGAAAACAAGAACGTTTTTGTCTGTTTTGGGGGCTTAAGTTTTGTACACTAGTTAAAAAGCTGAAAATTGCACATGGCCCCTAAGTTTTAGAGCTTTTTAAATTGTTAATTTTCAATTTTTCCCTGGATTGCTGCACACTTTCACTCAACGTTGATGTTTTAAGGGTCGACACGCTTCATACCTGACGCCTCTGGACTATTTATGCGCTGCAGGTTTCAGCATCAAACTGCTCACTCCTTTATGAATAAAGGAAGCTACTATCCTGCAGCCTGATCATCTCCGAAGCTTAGCTCCTGAATGCTGCTGAGAGAATTCAGCCATTTTATCCAGCTCTGTTGGAACTCATCTGAACTGTGTAGATCTGGATGACTGGAGCTAGAAGCAGGCTGGGAATGAGCCATGCCTTTATTGGCATCAGGAATAAACCAGTAAAGCATAAAGGACAGATTAAATATGTGAAATGATTAACAAACCCTAAACCTAGATAGGCAGGCCAATAAACAAGGTCACACCAAAACTAAAAATTAACCAAACCTCCAATGGACCCCCTTTACGGATAGATTAGGGAAGTTTAGACACTAGTTAGGCTAAACTAGTGGTTCTCTAACCTTTTCTCTCTAAGTTACACCTTCGCCTTATGTTGAATCTTTTAGCCCTGAGGGTCTTAGGAGCAAATTCCACCTGAAATTAGTTATTTGAATTAAAGCAAGTACAGCTCCCAAACTAGACAGAAAGGCATTGGGGAATATTTTTCAGGTGGAAACACTATTTTAAATGCCACCAAGTCTGAGTTATAGGTGATTAAACAAAGGAAAAAAAAGATGAATATTTAGCACCGCCAATTTTTGTTCTCCAAAATAAACTCTGCAAAACACCATGCATACATGAAAACAGAAACTCCAGACTTTATAGATCCACATCTTGACTATAACTCAGGCAAGTTTGGACTGAATAAGTTGAAGCATGTTCTTTCCACAAAGCTTTTAGGGCAAACGTCATTTTTTCCACTCATAAAAGAATATCTGGTCAGACAAATATGCTGATTTCGAACTGAATAGAAAATAAGAATAACTGAGGAAACTTATGTAACGCATGCCGGTTACAGCACCTGAAATGGTCGCACAATTACCTCCGACCCCTCCTAGGAAAGGAAATGTCTGAGCCTTTAGTTTCCAATGATGGCGATTAGGGGGCGGGGCTGAAAATGAATTCCTGCTGTTGCATTAATCCCTCTAAGACACAGCCCTTCCTCATTCACATAATGAGGCAGAAATGCAGACAGAAATGTAAAAACGACTGGCAGAAATAAATAGCATTGAAGAAATAAAGAGGGTAAAAATAAATACAAAGTAAGAATAAAACAGAAAAAAATATTATATCATGCACATAAATAAATACTTGAAAAAATAAGTAAGAAATAAAGTTGAAGATTATAACGGACAATACATAAATAAGGTAATTATTACAAATGCAAATAAATAAAGAGGCTAATAAAAAAGAGATATATACATTTATGTCTCACTGTATGATTTAATTTCACCTACATTTATTTGTTAATTGTATTTTTAGGGGTAATTAATTCTATGCTTATTAATTTATTGAGAATTTATTTATTTATGGATTTATTTTTAAATTAGCAGAGTTGGCCCTCCATACACAGCAGCAGATTCATGCAGTTGTATTCACTGATTTGTACGGAAGAGGATTAGGGCCATAAAAAAAGTTAACTGATTTTTAAATTTTATTTCAGTTTAGTATGGGGAAGAAGTCAGAATTCTGACTTTTTTCTCAGAATTCTGACTGAATTTTGACAATAAAAAAGTCAGAATTCTGAGAAAAAATTCAGAATTCTGTTAAACAAAATAAAAATAAAATTCAAAAATCAGTTAACTTTTTTGTTTTTCAGTGGCCCTAATCCTCTTCTGTAGATTTGTATTTGTGTTGAGGACAAAAAAAAAACATTTTTTTGAAGATTTTAATACATGTGTTTGAATTTCTTTTGCACTATTTGTTTTTTAATTCATGTGCATCTCACAGAACACAATTTGTGTACTTGTACTCAAGTACTTTTTAGAGGTGTAACTTTTTTTGTATTTTGTCAGATTAAAAAAAGTCTACAATTACAAAACACCAATTTTACAATGCACAAATAGCTTTGCAACAATAGTTCTGAACCATTTGAAGCAAAACTGAGAATGTTAGAAGTTTTTGACGAGCAACTAGTAGAACAGAATTTGTGTCCTTGTACTTAAAATTTGATCAGGTTTAAAAAAAATATTTGTACTTGCAAATTTTTTTTCATTCTACAAATACAAAACTCCAAATTCACACTTACAATGCACAAATAGTTTTAAAACAAAAGAACCTTCATATCGGATCCTCCTTACTGGATTTTCCTTTCAGATGGTGTTTGTTGGCTTCATGGTTTGTGGAGTCTTGGCCGGTTATGTTGCTGACAGATATGGACGCTGGAAGGTAGGAAACGGCAGATTAAAGCTGCAGGATCCTTCCTTTTTTCCATGTACTGTTTTTTTGGGTTTTTTTTTCCCAGGTGGTGTTTGGAGGTTACGTGTGGAGCTCGTATTTCTCTCTGCTGACATCGTTTGCCCCGACGTACGGCTGGTTTATCTTCCTGCGCAGCATGGTGGGCTGCGGCGTGGCGGGGGTGTCACAGGGGTCAGCTCACACCTAGCAGCAGTATGCCGAAAGGTCTGCGCTCTGATTGGCTGAACATCCATGCTTTGTTTGGCGTTTAGGTTTGTGCTGAAGACAGAGTTCATCCCTGCCAAGTACCGGGCCTACCTGCTGCCTCTGGGTTCTGTAAGTCCTAAAGTCCAGTTTTATCTAAAATAAAAACAGAAAAAAAATAGAAGTCTTTCTTTTTCAGATTTTCTGGATGACCGGCTCCATACTGATCATCCTCCTCGGGATGCTGGTGGTTCCCACTATGGGCTGGAGGTGGATGATCCGGCTCTCCATCACTCCCAGCATCATCCTCATCTTCCTCTTTAAGGTGCAGAATCTGCTTCATGTCTGTGTAGCCGGTGTTTGTGTATTTGTAGGAGAGAAAACACAATGCTGCTGCTGGAACTGATGCTTCCTTTATCACAGTTTATTCCTGAGTCAGCTCGGTACAATGTGTCGGCTGGAAACGTTGATGCTGCCGTTAAAACGCTGCAGCGGATCGCCAGAATGAACCGAGCTTCTCTTCCTCCTGGACGGCTGGTGGAGCCTGCTCTGGTACATCTTTACTTTATTCTAGTGTTTCTCTTCAACCTTACATTGATATAAAATTTTAGTCTGTGTTTGATGGCGGATCTTTGTTCCTATTCTGCTTTGGAAGTGCGCTTACTGATCCATGGCTGGATCTGGTTCAGGGTAAACAAATATACTTTTATGCAAATCTAAATATATTGTTATTGCAACAAAACCAAACATGACAATTATAGATAATATTCTAGAGAAATATCTATAAAGTTAGTGTCACTGATAAATTACCAGAAGTACTCTTATGCATACTTCCACTTTAGATAAGTGTGTTTGATTTTCATGGAGGAAAATAAACTGACAGATTTGATGTGAGACTGAAATGAGGAATCAGATAAAGTAGATTGGAGGATAGCGCAGAGCTAGAACTATAAGAGCTGCTAGAATAAGGCGTGTTTTTACTGTTTTCTACGGCGGAGTATTAGATTTCTTTTTTTAAATACGAGAATAGAGTCATAACATTATGAGAATAAAGTTGCATTTTATGATAACTCTGTTTAAAAACAAAAACTGTCCTGTCTGGTGATGTGGCAATAAGAATAATTGTCTTGATGCCAAAAAAGAGCCCAACAGATTTTACTTTCCCAATTGGAGCAGTACGGCTATCGCCATAGTGTTCCCCGTGATTTATGAATGTAAATAACTTTATTATAATTCATGCAGGGAGTATTACAGATTATATGGACACTGCAATGTAAGTAGAACAGGAACGGAAAAAAGGAGAAGAGATGAAAGAAAGAGGAGGCAGAAGGGAGACAATGATAAAACGTCTTCAGTCTGCCTTATCACCGAAAAAGAGATGTAAAAAGAACAGAACAACCAACGGATATAGTACAAGGGGTACAATAAAGTAACACCTTGATACTATCGCTGAAGTATAAGTAATACTATTTAATCTGACATGTATACTGTGGTAGCTGAAGATAAGAATATGGGCTTTCTGTATGGAAGTGAATCTCTGAGTACCTGGAGCCAAGCACCTGTAGTTGTATGTGAGAGTGCACTTGTGCCTGTAAAGTTTATCCAAGGGAAAAATGCTCAATAGTGGTTGTGAAGAGACAAAGACCCGCCCCTCCAGAGCACCGAGGCAAGCCCTGGAGGACCCAGAGCCCAGACACCCAAAGGGATCCCCAGAGCAAAGATGCCCAGGAAGGGCCAACCCAGGAAATCCGCCCCCCCACCTAGAGAAGAGGAGAGACGGCCCTGAGGAAAACCCCCAGCCGCCGCAACGCCGGAGCCCCCAGAAGCCGCGGGCACTTCTTTTAAGGGTTATGACAACTCTTAAAAGAAGTCTTTCCCAAAAAGTGGAAAGTTCACAAATAAGGAAATATGAGGTTGCTGTTGGGTGATGCTGGTCGAGGCTCCAAGCTCTCTTTCTGAAACGGATTGTGGTATGATAACTTTATTCTCGTCATTTTTCAACTTTATTCTCATATTTTTTCAACTTTACTCATAATGTTATGATTTTATCCTCGTAATATGACCACTTTATTCAGGTAATAATATGATTTTATAATGTAAGAATATTCTCATAATTATATGACTTTTAGGGATGCACAGTGCGGCAGAGGTTAGCACTGCTGCCTTGCAAAAAGGTTCCGGGTTTGATGCCCAGCCCAGGGTTTTTCTAAATGGAGTTTGCATCCAGTAAAAACAGTCCAAATGAACTGTGTTCTTTGCAGCGGCTGCCCAGTGTGGATCATTTTAAGCAGGCACCAGAACTTATTAATGCCAGTTTTCTGTTTCTCTCTATTCCAGAAGGAACGTGGCAGCTGGAGGATTCTGCTCAGCTCAGCTTATAGGAGGACATCTCTGCTGCTCTGGTACTCATGGTAATGACCTAATAGTATAATATCATTATTTGGTTATATGTTATTAGCCGCGGGGTATCACCAACTGAACCAAGAGAAAATAAAATCGTCTACTTAAAAATAGAATTTTATTTTCTACTTAAAATAAAATCGATCCTTGTCATTTATTTGTTTGATGGTTCAGGATCTCTGCTGTTAAAATCATATATCCACCTTTTTATTTCCATATATTGCAGCTCTTATCCAAATTATCCATCCCCCACATGGATGATTTATGAATCATATGCAGAAAATTAACTTAAAGTTACATATTTAAATTGACATTTTTTCAGTTTATATGCCATTAACTCACTCATTTTTATTTTAAACGATTGCGTCCTGTTGGCAAAGTATTTGACTTTTTTTTATATTCTAAGCTTTTTTTTTTTTGCTAAATTTTTTACTAAATGTAGCCTTTCTGTGTATATTTACCATAACCAATGTTGTGCCAGATCTTAATTAAAAAGAATGAGATCAAAGTTCAGTTCACACAGATGAAAATGAGCTAGCTCACATTCATAGTTTAATTTTTCAATAAATGAACTAAGTTCAGGCATGGACTGGTAATCAGGCGTACCGGGCATTTGCCCGGTGGGCCGACATGTATATTAATAATATGTATTATTATTATTGTTATTATTATATATCGGCCACGTTATATTTGCATAATGCATGAAGAAAAATAAAATCAGCAGCGCAAGAGTCTGTTCCGATCATCTCTCTCTCTCTCTCTCTCTCTCTCTCTCTCTCTCTCTCTCTCTCTCTCTCTCTCTCTCTCTCTCTCTCTCTCTCTCTCTCTCTCTCTCTCTCTCTCTCTCTCTCTCTCTCTCGTTGCTGTGCTGTGGTGGAGTTTACATTTTACAGTGTTAACAAATTAAGATTTTGGAAGTATTTTAAGTGTCCACTCTCACTAATTTCCATTAACCTGGCCTCAAGGTATTGCACAGTTGGTATACACATTCAGTACATACAGTACACATTTGTCCCAGTCCACCCCTGACTAAGTTCATAAACCTATAAATGAACTAGTCCAAGTTCATTCGGTAAATTAAGCCACAATCCTACAATAGAACCTCATATGAACGTCGTTCACTGAATAAATTCATAATTTCAGTGAACAGATCGGTTTTGAATAAATGATGAGAGCGACGTTCACCGTGAGAATAAAGAGCGACACAGACGGCTCACGTTCGGCTCATAATGACACTTTCCGTTGGATAACGTCAGGTTTTACAGCAAACAGCATGACAGACCAGCATGTCTACTGCTAGTCCTATTCTGCATGACTCAGACTCATCCGCTGGTATTTCTGATGCCAGTTTTGCAGAGCTCTTGGCAGAGTTTTATGAACTAACAGAGGAAGATTTGGACAGAAACAAAAAATCAAGTTTTTCTGCAAACTGTGCCGACCGGGACTTAAAGTCATATTTAAATGTCAAATCATTCTGGCCTAAACATGTATATAAATGTGCTCTTTATCAAACGATAATGTCCCAAAATTTAAAACATTTCTACAGAAAAAAGAAAATCCTGCATTAAAATCGGTGTTGTTTTTTTCCGTTATCTTATGCAGGCCAGTTAGTTATACGTCAGCCTGAAAACCTAAATTCGGCCAATCATATCAACGTCATCTTTCAATCAATTATTTTCGGTCATAGCATCTTGATTCATATGTCGCAGCTAAGATACGCAACGGTTGAAATAGGAATAATTTCCTTTCCCATTGAGTTCTGTCCCAGTGTTCACGGGGATGGACGGCTGTGTCTTCAGCAGGCGTAGAGCTAACAGAACTGGCAGCGTTGCGAGGCAAGGGCTCAAACATGTACGGCTGGAAGCCTTCTACACCAAACCAAGCTTCTGCCGCCCTGGCGTCCTCTTCCACAACATCTTCGTCCCACTTTCCTCTTCTAAATAAAAAATGGATGACGGAGGAGACTCATCCACGACCTCCGACACTAAACTCTCCTCCTCTTGCATGTTTCCTCTGTCCATAGCGTTCCTTGACTAGCACTAAGATGCTAACTGGTTAGCAAGATGCTTCCGACAAACCGGCCACAACCAAAGTGCTTGCGAACCTACCGCCACAACAACCCCGCCCTCTTGATAAACGACCAATCACATTCGCTTTATTCACTCATGTAAAGTAGGGCACCACTCTGGAGAATTCAGAAATGCAACGGTTGGAACAGCCGCTTCCCTACGACTTTAAGAAATAAGTCCGTACGTCAGCCAACTGCACTTCAAAACACATGTAATTAAGGCGTCCCAGCTATCTTGGGAAAAATCTGCTACTGAATGAGGGACGTACGAAATCACTCGATTCGTACTAATCGTGCTACTGGTGTTGGCAATGCTTTAATGCTCTGTTCTCCAAGCTGTTGGTTTAATTTAGTAGCTGCGTCAGTGAAGCTTTCTGGTAGTTCAGCGGTACTGCAGGTAGATGGCGCCACATCTGTTTGCCAGCTCATTTTGCCTGGTGCTGAGGTTCTATTTAGGCTCAAGGCATGAAGCTTTAACAGACATGCAGTTCATGTGAGATGACTAATGCGACATATCATGTTAGTAATCCCCTGCATGGATAGTTTGTAAGTTATATAGAAAAATGAACTTAAAACATTCCTTGTGTTTAACCTTACCAGGTAGAGATGGTCAGCACCATCCCCAAAGACGTGTCCTTATTCTCCTCCTAAAAAGTTGATCAAAGTTCTCCTTTGTTAAAAGGTTTTGTGTATTTTCTACCAGGACTATTGTGATCCATCAGGTCTCATTCTGTTTCGTCTGCAGGTTTGTGGCGTCCTTCGCCTACTATGGCTCCGTGCTGAGCAGCTCGGAGCTGCTGGAGAAGAACCTGTTGTGTGTGATAAATGCTGACAAAGAGCATCAGGTCAAACACCGGCATGAGAACGGACTCTGTTACTGCATCCCCTTTGGAAACAACGACTATCACACGCTTCTCATCAGCTCCCTGGGAGAGGTTGCATGTGAGTCCAGGAACAGGAGTGTGAAAGTTTTCAGAACTATTTTGGTTTCACATGTTTTCAGCTAAACAGTGAGATGAAACCAAATTCTAACAGAGATATTCTTTTAGCCGGTTTGTGATTCTGTGTTTCTTCTCCTTCCTGCCAGTGGTTCCAATAAACATTATTCTGCTCAATGTGTTTGGGCGGAAGATAAGCCTTTCTGTGCTCCAGCTGCTGACGGCTGTTCTGTTCATGATGGTCAATATCTGCACCACGATGTAAGGCCTGCACTGAAACTCCTCTTCTACAGTTTGATTGGTTCATTATGTGATTCATTAGATCCCAAAGGCCTGACTGAAAACCAGGTTTGTCCACCAGAGGGCGCAGGAGTAATAATCCATGCTATGGTTATGTATAAGCTGTGTGAACAAAGAAAAAGTCCTGCTGGGTTGTTATTTATTTTTGGGTTTTACACTTTGTTTTAGCTCAGTTTGATATCTTGGTGTTCCTGAAGCTAGAGTTGCTGAGGCGTTCAGATGCAAGTTCATGGATGCTGAATAATTTTTATTTATACTAGCTATTCTTAAATTATTATGCTATTCTTAAAGTACAAACCACATCATAAAACGAAAATAGAAATACAATAAGTATAGTACGTTAATGCTATCTGATTGTGTTTTTTCCAATGAAGAGGTTTTATTCTGAGTTTTAACCTTTTTTTTCCACTCAATCAAAATATTTCTTATCTTGATGCTGTGTCGCTGTTTGCGTTTTGATTGGAAGGTGAATTTTCTTTCTCCTTGATGTTGTTATTGGAGCCTCGCTGAACGATTCACCAGTAGAGCTGCTGTAAATCTGTTAATTCGATTAATATGAGTTGGTCTCTGACCACACCAAGCTGTGGCGTTACCACGAGGCATTACGGAACGGCCGGTGTTCTGTTTGATCAACATAGCCGTATTCAATACGAAAGCGTAAGACGTCAGATTTGCATATGCATAACCTGACTAAAGGGATACAAGCTTGATGAGCTGATTTAAAGTGATTTTTTTGCGTACAAAAATAAAGGCGTAAACTAAAGGCATAAACATTATTCTCGAAATTTTAAGATTTTATTCTCGTAATATTAGGACTTCTCTCGTAATTTTACAACTTTATTCTCGTAATGTTACAACTTTATCTCCTAATGTTACGACTTTATTCTCGTAAGTTAACAACTTTATTCTCGTAATGTTACGACTTTATTCTCACAATGTTACGACTTTATTCTCGTAATTTAAAGGCTTTGTTCTCGTAATGTTACGACCTTATTCTCGTAATGTTACAACTTTATTCTCGTAATGTTATGACTTTTTTTCTCATAATTTTAAGACAATTCTCATAAGTTTACGACTTTATTCTCGTAATTGTACGACTTTATTCTCGTAATTGTACGACTTTATTCTCGTAATGTTATGACCTTATTCTCGTAATGTTATTTTATTCTCATAAGATTACGACTTTATTCTCGCAATTTTACAACTTTATTCTCATAATGTTACGACTTTATTCTCGAAATGTTACGACTTTATTCTCGTAATTTTACGACTTTATTCTCGTAATGTTATGACTTTATTCTTGAAATAGAAGAAAATATCTAGCCTGGCCCTAACACTCCGTCGTACTGCTGAACTTCACTACAGGTCTATTTTATTTTTGCCCTTTTTTTTTTTTTTTTTTTTTTTACCCGAAAAGCATAATTTCTTAGTGATATTTTTGGTTTTATAGCCGCTTAATGGGGATAGATATCAAGTTTTAAACATCCTCTATATTCTTTTATTCTATATATTAAACATCGTGCTAATATCTGCATAAACATATTACAGTTAATGAATATCTTAAATTGTCCAGCTCAATACACAGAATCGTTTATTCAGTCCTTTTATTCAAATAGCTTCTATTAAACATTTTATGTTTCATAACTGAACTGGATTTAACATTCCAAAAATGGAAAAGTCATCCACATTTATCAAGACTTAAGATCATAAAAAAGTAGCTGAATTATTACTTTGCATAGGAACTTTGACCATTCAGTAACTGAGTTCCTAACCTGAGTACTTTTTGGGAAAAGGAACTAATCACATCTTCTTCACTGAGCTTCACAGAGTTCCTAAAACCATGGAAAAACCTCAGTCCAACATAAACTGTTAATGCTCCTCTGGGGTTTTCACACCTGGATTAAAATCATTCTCAACCAATTATTGCTGAGGAGCTTTAAATGGAAACCTTCAGAGGGGCCCCTGGTGGTTCCAGTGCTCCTGCAGGGATCAGGGTCATGAGATGTTACTGTACTGCTTGATTAAAATCTGACAGGAAGCATGGCAGCTGCAGCTTTTGATCAAAGTTTTTTATCTAACCAGAACCTTTGTCTTACTTCAGGTTTGGATTCACGGTTCTCCTCTTTCTGCTCCGGTCTCTGGTCTCCATGAATTTTAATGTGGTTTACATTTACACAGCTGAGGTAAGTCATGTCTTAGAAGGCTTTAATGTAAAGACTTGCAGTCTTACTGAAACATTAAGGTCTTCAAGAAAGAGTACTGCAAACACACAAAGGACCATATTTTTGTTTTGTTTTTGTGAATAAATCTTTCCCCTGCTCCCGTTTGGTCAGCCAGGTGCCTTAGAGGCATGCTATAGGAGCCACAGTGTTACTTAAAAATTAAATAACAAAAGCTTTTGTTTTTCTATAGCAGAGGTTCCCAAACATTTCAGCCTCTGACTCCAGAAATAACACAACAGGGACTGGCAACCCTAAAAATGCATATTTAAATAATTATTTTAGTTATAAGTTATAAAAAATATGTTTTTAACTATTCAAAGCGACATCTATTTAATCCATTGTGTATTAAATAATTTAAAGGGGTGTGTGTGTGTGTGTGTATGTATGTATGTATGTATGTATATATATATATATATATATATATATATATACACTCACCGGTCACTTTATTAGGTACACCTGTCCAACTGCTCGTTAACACTTAATTTCTAAGCAGCCAATCACATGGCGGCAACTCAGTGCATTTAGGCATGTAGACATGGTCAAGACAATCTCCTGCAGTTCAAACCGAGCATCAGTATGGGGAAGAAAGGTGATTTGAGTGACTTTAAACATGGCATGATTGTTGGTGCCAGAAGGGCTGGTCTGAGTATTTCAGAAACTGCTGATCCACTGGGATTTTCACGCACAACCATCTCTAGGGTTTACAGAGAATGGTCCGAAAAAGAAAAAACATCTAGTGAGCGGCAGTTCTGTGGGCGGAAATGCCTTGTTGATGCCAGAGGTCAGAGGAGAATGGCCAGACTGGTTCGAGCTGATAGAAGGGCAACAGTGACTCAAATAACCACCCGTTACAACCAAGGTGGGCAGAAGAGCATCTCTGAACGCACAGTACGTCGAACTTTGAGGCAGATGGGCTACAGCAGCAGAAGACCACACCGGGTGCCACTCCTTTCAGCTAAGAACAGGAAACTGAGGCTACAATTTGCACAAGCTCATCGAAATTGGTCAATAGAAGATTGGAAAGACGTTGCCTGGTCTGATGAGTCTCGATTTCTGCTGCGACATTCGGATGGTAGGGTCAGAATTTGGCGTCTACAACATGAAAGCATGGATCCATCCTGCCTTGTATCAACGGTTCAGGGTGGTGGTGGTGGTGTCATGGTGTGGGGAATATTTTCTTGGCACTCTTTGGGCCCCTTGGTACCAATTGAGCATCGTTGCAACGCCACAGCCTACCTGAGTATTGTTGCTGACCATGTCCATCCCTTTATGACCACAATGTACCCAACTTCTGATAGCTACTTTCAGTAGGATAATGTGCCATGTCATAAAGCTGGAATCATCTCAGACTGGTTTCTTGAACATGACAATGAGTTCACTGTACTCAAATGGCCTCCACAGTCACCAGATCTCAATCCAACAGAGCATCTTTGGGATGTGGGGGAACGGGAGATTCGCATCATGGATGTGCAGCCGACAAATCTGCGGCAACTATGTGATGCCATCATGTCAATATGGACCAAACTCCCTGAGGAATGCTTCCAGCACCTTGTTGAATCTTTGCCACGAAGAATTGAGGCAGTTCTGAAGGCAAAAGGGGGTCCAACCCGTTACTAGCATGGGGTACCTAATAAAGTGGCCGGTGAGTGTATATATATATATATATATATATATATACACAAACAAATAACAAAGGAACACTTTGTAATCGGAGTATAGCATCATGTTAATTAAACTTCTGGGATATTGATTTGGTCAGGTAAGTAGCAGAGGGGGTTGTTAATCAGTTTCAGCTGCTTTGGTGTTAATGACATTAACACCAGGTGCACTACAGGGGCAACAACGAGACCATCAAAACAGGTGGAGGCCACTGACATTTTTTCCCCTCCTCATCTTTTCTGACTCTTTTTCAACAGTTTTGCGTTTGGCTAGGGTCACTGTTTCTACTGTTAGCATGAGGCGCTACCTTGACCCTACAGAGGTTGCACAGGCAGTCCAACTCCTCCAGAAGGTTTGCTGTGTCTCCCAGCACAATCTCAAGAGCATGGAGGAGATTCTAGGAGACAGGCAGTTACTCCAGGAGAGCTGGACAGGGCCGTAGAAGGTCTACAACCCATCAGCAGGACCGGTATCTGCTCCTTTGTGCAAGGAGGAGCAGGAGGAGCACTGCCAGAGCCCTACAAAATGACCTCCAGCAGGCCACTGGTGTGAATGTCTCTGACCAAACAATCAGAAACAGACTTCACGAGGGTGGCCTGAGGACCGACGTCCTCTAGTGGGCCCTTTGCTCACTCCCCGGCACCGTGGAGCTCGATTGGCTTTTGCCAGCATAACAACGGAATTGGCAAGTCCGCCACTGGCGCCCTGTGCTTTTCAGAGGAGAGCAGGTTCACCCTGAGCATGTGACAGATGTGAAAGGGTCTGGAGAAGCTGTGGAGAACATTATGCTGCCTGTAACATCGTTCAGCATGACCGGTTTGGTGGTGGGTCAGTGATGGTCTGGGGAGGCATATCCATGGAGGGGCGCAGAGATCTATACAGGCTAGACAACGGCACCCTGACTGGCATTAGGTATCGGAATGAAATCCTTGCACCCATTGTCAGATCCTATGCTGGTGCAGTGGGTCCTGGGTTCCTCCTGGTGCACAACAATGCCCGGCCTCATGTGGCGGAAGTATGATGCCACTGATTGGCCCCCATGCTCGCCTGACCTAAATCCAATAGAACACCTCTAGGACATTATGTTTTGATCCATCGGACGCCGCCAGGTTCCAACTCATACTGCTCCGGAGCTCAGTGATGCCCTGGTCCAGATCTAGGAGGAGATACCCCAGGACGCCATCCATTGTCTCATTAGGAGCATGCCCCGACGTTGTCAGGCATGCATATACATATGTGGGGGGTATACAAATTACTGAATACCATTTTGAGTTGCTGCAATGAAATTTCAGCACAATGGACTAGCCTGCCGCATCATTTTTTCACTGTAATTTTTGGGGTGTCTTTGAATTCAGCCCTCTGTAGGTTGATCATTTTCATTTCCATCAAATGATATGGCATCCTGTTGTTACTAACGCATCACCCAGTCCATATCAGTAGAAATAAACAGCAGGATTTTTTCCCCATTGAGATCTGAGCAGTGCATATATACATACACTCACCGGCCACTTTATTAGGTAGCCCATGCTAGTAACGGGTTGGACCCCCTTTTGCCTTCAGAACTGCCTCAATTCTTCGTGGCATAGATTCAACAAGGTGCTGGAAGCATTCCTCAGGGAGTTTGGTCCATATTGACATGATGGCATCACACAGTTGCTGCAGATTTGTCGGCTGCACATCCATGATGCGAATCTCCCGTTCCACCACATCCCAAAGATGCTCTATTGGATTGAGATCTGGTGACTGTGGAGGCCATTTAAGTACAGTGAACTCATTGTCATGTTCAAGAAACCAGTCTGAGATGATTCCAGCTTTATGACATGACACATTATCCTGCTGAAAGTAGCCATCAGAAGTTGGGTACATTTTGGTCATAAAGGGATGGACATGGTCAGCAACAATACTCGGGTAGGCTGTGGCGTTGCAACGATGCTCAATTGGTAGCAAGGGGCCCAAAGAGTGCCAAGAAAATATTCCCCACACCATGACACCACCACCACCAGCCTGAACCGTTGATACAAGGCAGGATGGATCCATGCTTTCATGTTGTAGACACCAAATTCTGACCCTACCATCCGAATGTCGCAGCAGAAATCGAGACTCATCAGACCAGGCAACGTTTTTCCAATCTTCTATTGTCCAATTTCAATGAGCTTGTGCAAATTGTAGCCTCAGTTTCCTGTTCTTAGCTGAAAGGAGTGGCACCCGGTGTGGTCTTCTGCTGCTGTAGCCCATCTGCCTCAAAATTCGACGTACTGTGCATTCAGAGATGCTCTTCTGCCCACCTTGGTTGTAACGGGTGGTTATTTGAGTCACTGTTGCCCTTCTATCAGCTCGAACCAGTCTGGCCATTCTCCTCTGACCTCTGGCATCAACAAGGCATTTCCGCCCACAGAACTGCCGCTCACTGGATGTTTTTTCTTTTTCGGACCATTCTCTGTAAACCCCAGAGATGGTTGTGTGTGAAAATCCCAGTAGATCAGCAGTTTACTCAGACCAGCCCTTCTGGCACCAACAATCATGCCACGTTCAAAGTCACTCAAATCACCTTTCTTCCCCATACTGATGCTCGGTTTGAACTGCAGGAGATTGTCTTGACCATGTCTACATGCCTAAATGCACTGAGTTGCCGCCATGTGATTGGCTGCTTAGAAATTAAGTGTTAACGAGCAGTTGGACAGGTGTACCTAATAAAGTGGCCGGTGAGTGTATATGTATGTGTATATGTATAAGTGTATATGTGTATATATAAATAGGAAATTTACAGACATTTATTGTCTTACATTTAGAAATCTGCTCACACATGCATATATTTCTATAGAGGGTAATCTTTCCCTATATGGACACTGCTCTCCATGGTTATCTCCACACACACCCTGATCTTTTTGGTACTTTAATGACGCTTTGCTGTATTAAGGGTTAATTGGACTGTTTTTTCATCCCAGGTTTACCCTACAGTGGCGAGGTCTCTTGGGATGGGTTTCTGCACGTCATTCAGTCGGATCGGAGGGATGATCGCACCATTTATCGCACAGGTTTGTCCAATGTGCAGCTGAAAAACTGTGTTTTCAGATTGCAGTGGCTGTGCCTCATTGGTCTGTGTGTACTTCAGGTGCTCATGTCTCAGTCTGTGATTCAAGCTCTCACTCCGTTTGCTGTTGCCTGCGTCATCTGCGCTCTGGGAAACTTGCTGTTACCGATAGAAACCAGAGGACGGGCCTTGCTGGTGAGAAAATCAGTCCTTTTTTTTTTTTTTTTTACATATATTTTTACATTATCTTGTTTGACTAAAAAGGATGTCAATGTCTTTCTTTTTCAGCAAAACTCCTGATGATTTCTCTGAACATGTTACGTGAAGCAGTTTTTCTATATTTGCAATCATAAATGTGTTTCATTTGGCAGTTTCAATGTTTCTGGTCCAGACAGTCTCTGCAGTTTTTGGAGGTTTTGTTAAACAAGCAAACAGGTTTATGTTTTTAAATGAAGTTCAGACAATGATTATGGTTTACATATGGCGGTTGCTGTAAAATCTCTTCCTCTGTTTTACTTTGAATTGTACCTGCTGCAACAAATCTATATTTATTTCGGTCTCCTTTGATGTAAATACTCTAAATAAAGGTGATTGTTCTAGGTGGAAAGGTGCTGTGGACATTCTTTAGATGAAAGATTAGGATGTTTTTTTTTTTATTAATTAATTAAAATTATGGAAGAAAAATCAGTGGTGCATTTCATTTAACCTGTTGTCAGAAACAGGTCCTGTTTGTAATTGTCAACTGTTTCTTTATGTTGTTTTTATTTTTGTTTACAAGTTTTATCTCATTAGAAATGTTAAGAAAAATATTTAGTCCTTTTTTTTTTTTTTTTTATCAGCCTGACTTGAAAACTGGTCTTCAGTGGGATTTTCCATCAGATGACTTCCAAAGAGCACTTAGATACATTTTGCATGTATTTATTTTAGGTTTTGCTCCTTAAAGTTTCTTTTTGTTTTGTTGTTTGTCTTAACAGGGGGACTCTAGAATCCTCTATTATCAGCAGATCAATGCAATGTAAATGCTCGACAGACATTACTGCGAAGATCAAAACTAAAGTCTGCTCTTGTAAGGAGGGCTGCATTGAATGTCTGATCAGTTCAAGGTCTTTTTGAGTTTGGATAATCTATTTAATTTAATTTTAATTTAATCTATTTAATTTAATTTCATTTAATTTCAAAACTTTAGTCACAACCTGTTCATCCTTCATCAGCAGCAATATATGGAAATACCTTTGGATGTAGAATTGAATAGAAGATCCCTTTATTGTCCCACAATGGGGAAATTGTGGTGTTACAGCAGCAAAAGTTTATAGCAGAATTGGTCACACAATGTGGACCTGTGTAATCTCAGGAAAAGTGTATAAAAATAATAGATAAGAAAATAAAAAGCAAAGAGTAGGAGTAAAGAACAGGGCTGTTTTCCCTCCAGGCCTGAAACTGGTGGTGGAGTGGAGATAGATGAAGTTGGTCAGTCTGTAGACTGCTGGTTAGAGAGACGGTCTGCTGAGCTTTATGGGGAGATCCAGTGGACTGCGTAAGCTGATACTAGAGCTTCACTCAGGGATAGGGTGGCCATTTCTATAGCACCAAAAACAAGGACATTTTGCAGCATATCAATAACTTACTAAGGTGTACATAAGAATTGGGTAAAGTCACATTTATAGTACAATTCTTAGTAGTTTAAAGATGATGCTTGTGTAGCTGAATAGAACAAAATATTACAGAAATGTAAAAAAAAGAATTGGTTCCCAGCATTTGTATTTATTTAATACATTGTGGTGTTTAAAAAGTGACCATTTTTTGACACAATTAATTTGCGCAGAACTGCTGCAATTGATCATAAAGCAGCTGTTTGGAAAAGAAGCTCGAGGCGGAGAAAGAGCTAGAGAATAGGACAATACAAATTTTAAAAAGTGGCTGGAAAAGAGGAATTCCTGACATGGCTGCAGCCTGTCGAGAGTAAAGATCACTGTGTTCTCTATCTATATACATACATACAAACTTCAGTCATGGAACTGTGCTTACAGCTCCTTATTTCATGTAAACTAATAACTTGTGTACATGATACTTGTTGATGGCATTAAAATTATTTCTAATAGCATTAAAATAGCATTAAATTAGAGTTCCTCATTCCTCTATAAACCCTGTGAATGTTTAATTTAATATGACATATAAAAAAAAATCCCATCATCATCCAGCAGATGTTCAGTTTCTGCCCAAATATTTTCTTTCTGTTGTGGATTTTTGTAACAGGGATAACTAGGATCAAACATAGTTTGATTATATACGATTATATACGAACTATGCTCTAATTTCTAGTTACCGATCTGTTTTTACTATAATTGAATTTGACAAACCGGGTCTTTTCTACATTCTTTTTCCTGTTTGGTGCGATTGCAATTGCGGGTCTTGATCTAGACGGACCGGAGCGGAGCAAAAAAGACCTCAGTTCCGTATTTTGACGGTGAAGGACGGAGAAGACGTACGTGGACGGAGAGTAGCTACTGCGGAGGAGTAGCGGAGGATGTGGAACAGCTCTCATTGACTTACATGATAGACAAGCGGAGCGCTTATGGAGGATTTGGAATCTGGGGGTAAAGGAGGACAAATACACGTCCGGCTGGATGCGGCGCCGGACAGTGCAATGAAAATCCGGACTGTCCGCCCTAAAGCCGGACATCCGGCCACCTGGAAGATGGAAGTCCAGTTTGGATAACAGGTTGAGAGAACCTGTCCATGTGAGCACTCGGGACAAACTCTTTAAATAACACCTCATAAATTCAGAGAGGAAAAAAGGTTCCAACCACCGGGAGCATGAACAAATAAAAGCAAATATAATGATATAAACCTTAGTCAGTTAAATAACATGCTGCTGTCATTTTTTTTTCTCTGATTTTGCTATTTTCAAATATCCATCACTGTAAACCTGTCCTGGATATTGGTTATTTAACCTCCAGGTTCACAGTTTTATATTGTTAAAACACTTTACAGTACAGTATTTTATCTTTTAACTCTTCACTAGTTTATTTTTCTTCAACATTTTTCTAAGGTCCACATTTGTGTGACCATTTTTTCCCTAAGCATTTTTGGCTCCCTTTTTGTTGACCGGGGAATAAAATAAGATAGATCCAGTCAGTCATTTCTTTCCATTTTCTTGACCTCAATTTTACTGACGACGCATAAACCGTTCGTTGTATTATCACGTGACTGCTGTGACGTAATGAAACCACGCCCACTCGTTCTATGACCTTGTGACGTAATGAAACCACGCCCACGCGTCCTTTGTGACGCAGTGAAACCACGCCCACTCTTTGTATGAGCTTGTGACGTAATGAAACCACGCCCACTCGTTCTCTGAGATTGTATATAAGAGCAGCTAACAATTACAGTTACACTCGGGACTCGACAGTGGAGGTACAGGTCAGCTCCTGACTGTCCATCTTTTAAATAGAAAATGGATAAATGGCGGCGCTTCAAGGAATGGGGGAACCGAAAAACGACATACCACTGGACACAGGAAGAATATCTGACACATATCCATTGTGTTGTGATGAATGCAATGGCTTCATTAACCCGCAAGATTTGGGGCTACAGCGAATTTATTCCCATGCATGAAAAAGAGAGGAAATTTCTGGAACTCATTACGGTTAAGGCTGTTTCAAATTTGGACGTCCATAGCGAAGTCTGGTTGTCTTACCCTCATCTGAAACCTGGGCTTGCAGAGCATCTAACAAAAAAGTTAGCCCCCTTTTATTACTATGAATATCCACTAATGCTGCATTTATATAAAAATGGAGGAGACTGTAAATGTTTTATTGATCAGATGGCGGCTGATATCTGCAGAATAGCTAAGCACTACATAAAAAATGATAAGTATCTAAATTTAAAAGACAATTCAAGTGCTTTAATTCATTTCCTAGAAGACGCAGCGTTTATAGCATTTAAATATGTCACTTTAAAAGTGTGGGGAAATTAATAGTTTGAACCCGCACCTGAATGGGATCCGAGCTAGGCCTCACGGCCTTCCTACAGAAGCTCGCTTTATTTTTATTTTTTTGGTTTTTGTTCCTTTCCCTCCTCCTTCCACCCACCCTGGGTGTCTTCTTTTTTTTTTTTATACTTTGGACTCTGGGTTTGATACCTGGAGTTCACATTTTCTCCGTGCATGCTTTGGGTTCTCTCCGGCTTGTCCCACATTAAAAGACAACTATTTCGCATTACTTTTGTGTGATGCGTTTTACCATATAATAGGTATTTGGTCAAATAAATGACAGAGCCAAGCGCTTACCGTTAATCAACTAAATAAAATGGATACATTATAGAGCCCAATAGCACATTTGCCAGGTCCAATGTAGTTTGTTCGAGTAAACACTGCAGAAGTTCAGCGCTACATAATCAGACATGTCTGTTTTCCCCCAAAATGGCAGATACATATGAAGCTGTATTGATACCCTACCACCAGGTGCTATTTCGATATCTTGCTGGTGCGTGTGAATGTACAGTGGGGCAAAAAAGTATTTAGTTAGCCACCAATAGTGCAAGTTCTCCCACTCAAAAAGATGAGAGAGGCCGTTAATTTTTCATCATAGATATACCTCAACTATGATTGACAAAATGAGAAAAAAAAATCTAGAAAATGAATTTATTTGCAAAATATGGTGGAAAATAAGTATTTGGTCAGTTACAAACAAGCAAGATTTCTGGCTCTCACAGACCTGTAACTTCTTCTGTAAGAGGCTCCTCTGTCCTCCACTCGTTACCTTCATTAATGGCACCTGTTTGAACCCGTTATCAGTATAAAAGACACCTGTCCACAACCTCAAACAGTCACACTCTAAACTCCACCATGGCCAAAACTAGAGAGCTGTCAAAGGACACCCGAAACAAAATTATAGACCTGCACCAGGCTGGGAAGTCTGAATCTGCAATAGGTAAACAGCTTGGTGTGAAGAAAATGGAAAACATACAAGACCACTGATAATCTTCCTCGATCTGGGGCTCCACGCAAGATCTCACCCCGTGGGGTCAAAATTATCACACGAACGGTGAGTAAAAATCCCAGAACCACACGGAGGGACCTAGTGAATGACCTGCAGAGAGCTGGGACCAAAGCAACAAAGGCTACCATCAGTAACACACTAAAATAGAACTTTTTGGTAAAAACCATTAATTAACCATTATCGAGTATCATGATAAATAATGAAAACCAAAGTAAATATTACTGAATTACAAACATTAGCTGTGAAGGATAAGTACTCAAAATAAACATCCAGTTATTTAAACCTAGTCGTCAGAAGTCAGTCAGTAGTCCTCTAAACAGCCACCTATGGATGGTTACAATGTGAAATAATAAGACAGTAATACAGGTTATAATGCAAAAAATGGCATGTTACAATCATCAG